TCACTTTCTCATTTAAAGCTCGAAAGATTGTTTTTAGACATTTATAATAGGACGGAACATGTTATTGTTGTTATTAGCGGTTAATTATTCAGTTTCAGCCATTAAAATCTATAAAATGTCCCCTCCATGAGATATTTCCATAATGCCTTGATGATTCTAAACCACTGGTAGAGGGGGTGGCGGGGAAAGAGAAGGGACAGCATATTTACCTGGGAAGGTGTGTGGGTTGGGTGACCCTCTCTTGAGGCACTTGGAACACAGAACATGAACAGTGTAGTAGAGTCCGGGCCACTCCTGCAGAAGGACATTCAGCTCCTCAACCAGTGGGATTATCGCTTGCCAAGCAGTCCAGATATTTGGCAGGGAGGCATGGCTGGCTATGGACAGTGACTCGGCCTGCAGCCTGCCTCGAGCCGGCCGGTAGCTGACCACCACAGGCACTTTACCACGATAGGCAAAGATCTGGTGCCTCCCGTCTGACCTCTGAACCACATGGCTGTTGATCTGCACACTGTAGCGTGCAAACAGTCCAGGAGGGAAGAGAAAGGGGAAGCTGTATTCAATCTGCAGCTGCTCTAAAGAGAAGAACTGACTAGCAGCCACTGAGCTGCTGTTCACCCAGGCCTCGGCATGGGGCTCCTCATTGCTGACATAGCTGGGGAACTTGTACCAGACGGTGGCCCCGTTCAGAGGCTTGCTGCGGGCCTTGTTGATGCAGTAGCACACCCCCATCTTCTCCAGCAGCTCCATGATGAGGTGGAGGTCCTGCTGGGTTTGGATGAGAGGTCTCAGGAGCAGCCGGATGACGTTGGAAGGCAGGAGGCCGTGGCTGAGGAAGCCCTCCACATGGTGCTGTAGATGGGTAGCCCTGAGGTTTTCTCCCTTCTCCCCATCTATAACCACACTGGCCCTCCTCTTGTCCCCCCTCTCACCGTCCGACAGTAGCCTCTCCAGCAACGTGGACTCATCCCTCTGGAAGAAGACGTTGAGGATGGCGATGAAGCGTGGCAGGTTGTGGAAGACGTACTCCTTTAGTGTCAGACTGTCCTCGAAGTAGAGTAGCTTCCCACTCTCGTGCAGGTACGACAGGGCACTCTGCAGGCGGTCCTCCGTGAGCCCAGCCTGGAGGCCCAAACGGGCCGAGTCCCACCACGAGAGCCACAGGTCCTGGGGCTTAAAGTGCAGCTCCTCCAGCATCTGCCAGGACTTGGGCAGCACGCGGTGGAGGTTGGGGAAGATGTCGCGGTGGTCAGCCACTGACATGAGCTTCTCCTTCAGCCTCTGGATATTTATCTGGCTCTCCATGCAGCTGACACACAGGACAGGGGACAGGATCTGTAGCCTGTGGTTTAGCATGTACTGCAGCTGGGCTTTCTTCCGTCTCAGGTTCTTGTCTGTGACGCCGTAGAAGAGGATGTGAGGGCTGGAGGTGCGGACGTTGTAGCCCTGCTCCAGGGCCTGGTCCACCTGCTGGGCAAGGCTCCGGAGGCAATGGGTGTCCCACTTCTCCTGCAGGGCAATCTGTCTGTGGATATCCAGGCTCTTCCCCTCCACCTCTATGTCTCCACACAGGTCTGTGTGCGTGCCCACCATGCAGACCACAGCATGGGGCACTTTGGCACTGAGGAGATGGAGGAAGTAACCCACGTGGGCGTAAAAGTTATTGGGTGAGTATGTTTTCAGATTCACAACGAGGATGTACAGAGCACCGGGTGAGAGAAAAAAAGGTTTGATGAGGTCATAGTTTGGCTTCCCTGACAGGTCATACACTAAAAATGTAAGACTGCGATCGGCGTCCGCTACCCAGTTAGTCACATCAACCCCTTTGTTTCCCTGAGCAGAGTTGGCATCCTGCTGCTCACTCACCACACTCTGCCTGAGCAGTGTTTTTCCAGCGTTTTTCATTCCCATCAGGACCAGTTTTAACCTGGGTTTCACAGCCAGCTGGGAATGTGCGAGTTCCTTTTGATAAGCACCGATGTAGGGGATCCCCTTCATACAGACCTCATAGGGAGGCTGAATGAGCGGGTTATCCTTCACTTTCCAAATGTTTACCTTGGAGAGTTTTCCAAAGTTATCTGGAAGTATGGCTATTTGGTTACCCTGTAAAACAAGCTCTTCCAATCTATCTAGCTCCACAATGGAGTCGGGCAGATAAGTAATCTTATTATTGTCTAACCAGAGGTTAGCCAGCCTACACAGCTGGCCTATCTCCTCTGGGACAAAAGACAGTTTATTTCTGCTCAGGTAAAGCTCTTCTAGTCCTGTGATGTTTAGGATAACCTGGGGAAACTCCTCAAGCTCATTAGAGGATAGATTGACCATTTTAAGTCTCTGCAGGTTGCCAAAGGAATGAGGCAGAGCTGCGAGGTTGTTACTGTCTAGCATCAGGCTCTCTAGGTTGTGCAGGTGACAGAACGTGTCCGGTAACGTGGAGATGTGAATGCTGCTGAGCCACAGGATCTTGATGGACTGCAGCTTAATGATGTCCCCTGGTAGACACGCAAACTTATTCCCTGAGCAGTCGAGCTCCTCCAGGTCACTTAGGGCAAGAATCTCCAGGGGAAACTGGTTCAGCTTGTTGTGATCGGCATCCAGAGTACGGAGCCTCTTGAGCTGTGAGAAGGACCTGGGGAAATCACATATGTCATTGAAGCTTATGTCCAGCTCCTCTAAGTACTGCAGTGCCCCAATCTGTGACGGCAGGTACTGGATGTTGTTGTGACTGATGCAGAGTTTTTTCAGCCCCTTCAGCAGGCCTATATCCTCAGAGAAGTGACCCAAGCAGTTGTGGCTCATGTCCAGTTCCACAAGCCGACCCAGTTCAAACACCACAAAAGGAACTGTGATAAATTTGTTCCTGCGGAGGATAAGGCTACGCAGGTTTGTAAGGCTTGCCCCCAATCCTTCTGGTAGCTCATACAGCGAGTTATTGCCCAGATTGAGTACCTCTATCTCGCTTATATTTTCAGGTAGAATGATCTTCTCCCTGTTTTTGGAGCAGAGGGTGAGCTGTCGCAGGTTGCTTCGCAGCTTCCTAGAGCGGAGAGCAGCATCTCTCCACAATTTAGCCGTTTTGAGATTGTTCTCCTTGTCCTCCATGGTTTTGCAGACCGACACCTCCTCCTTGTTTTCATTGGGAGGAATAATCAATTATCCTGGCAACATGTTGGTCTAGGTGCCCTTGTTTAATCGATTAGTGTTCTTATCATGAACAATCCAAACAGAGAAAACGACAGTAATTCCATTTCGAGCAAGAACAAGAAAACATCATGCTTTTCAATCGTATCAGGACGGCTGGACCTAGCCAGCAGTGTTTCACGCATCTTTATCTACGGCCGCGGACCGCACAAGGAACAGTGAAACCTACCGCTATTTCAAGTCAATTTTAAAACCCAGGCGGTTGGGCTGGCCCCGCCAGCACATTCTCCAGTATGTTGGCATCCAAGCGCGTCCCATTATCTAAAAAACAATGAATGAAATCAAACAGCGGGCAAAGTCTCTCCTCCTTGTGCCTCGCTCATCTCTCTGCCTGTGTTCTCTCGTAAACTACAGTCCTTGCTGCTCAAGGGGGAGTGAAACAGTAGCAACGCCTAGATTACACTGCGTCAGATTTTTAGCCACCTTGGTTTAGTTCTCGATTGACTGCCCATGATGACAAGCTATTATTATTGCTAGGCAATAACATTTATAAGATTAAATAAAGGAATATGATGTCTGTTTTATCTAGAGCGAGACAGAAGTGTTTTCTGTTTTGATTAGATAAATCGATTTTTACAGCTATTTTCGCCACCCATTGATGAGTTGAGAAAGTAAAATGTATTATTCTATATTACATTCATTTTTCAATAATTATTCTGGTCAGATGGGATATAAAATGATTTTATAAGAAATAAAGACCAAATAGCATATAGAATTTAGTTTCAGCAATGCTATTTCGATCAAGCACCAGATGTAATGTTATTGCGGAAGATAAAAAGATCCCCCTGCGAAAAGGTTATTTTCAGTAGCAGACATTGAAACTTAGATGGTGTAAACAAAACACGTACCACTTTCTCATGGTATTCTCTTGATGGGAAACAGTACGTGTTCTTTGTACGCGTTATCTGCTTTGTCTCCATCTAATGGCTATGATTTGAATGCACAGGGTTTGGCAAAACCATTACGTCACCATATCATATTGTATTGTGTGTTGAAATCATAGACTTATCGCTTATGGTAGTAATTTGATTGGTTTTGTACATAACAAAAAGGAAAAATATTTTCTCTTGAACCTGACGCCATGAAGCACAGACGTGTTAGAAATGTTAGGAGTTGTACCATATGTACATTTAAATATTAAATGCAAATGTTACGCTAGTGTGTATTACAATTGTCCTTATTCATCGGTCAGCATCCAAGTTCAAATCGATTATAAACTGCAGCACAACAAAAACAGGACAGACAATACATGTCTAGGACTGTCCAAGCCCTTTCAACTCTACTGCCCCCAGAAAGTGAAGAAAGCAGGCTTAAAAATAAACGTCACCTACTACTAACTCCTATTAACCAGAACTGGCAATAGTTCAGCAGCATAATAATCGGTATTTACATAATTACTGGTATCAGGAAATTAATAGAAAAATAGAAGTACATTTTAGTTGTTTAAAAAAATTTACTTGGTATGGTTTGTAACAAGGCAGTATAATTACTGGGGTTTAGAAATATTTATTAGTATTTAAAAAAAATGGTTTAAGACAATAGCTAAATAGTTCATACATTGTTTGCATGTGAACTTGTGCAAAATTGTATCCTGTAAATGTAAATCACAAAGTATATGCATTGCTTACACCAAACTTAAAGCTGACATATCCTCAATTGTCTTGAACTGGTTTTAAAGGCCTTGTGTGCTCTGTAAAAAATAAATAAAAGACTCAAGCCAGGCCTCTAACAGGCAGTCAATTACATTTGGCTGCTTTACACAGGCAGCCCAAATCAGATATTTTGCCCAATTATTGGCAAAAGATCTGATCTGATTGGTCAAATGGTTAATTAGTGGCAAAATATCCAAAGTGGGCTGCCTGTATAAACACAGCCTGAGGGTTAGCAGCAGGTTGTTTTTGTTTTCAGACAATATGAAAGACGAACCAAATTAAAAATCATTCGTTAAAGAAAATCCTTAGCAGACAATGTCTTAGTCCTACTGTAAAAATCTACAGAGGCTGTCAAAAGGCAGCAACAAAATTAGAATTGTGGTAAGTGGCACAACTAGTCCAATTAAACAACTGTATCCACACAGTCCCACAATTTGGGAAAAAAAAAAACGGACTCTTAGATTGAGTGGGAAAAGTGCTATGATTTTTAAGCCATGGGGGTAAAACAGACATGGGATGCCTGCTTGAAGGCCTCAATGCAGAAGTCTCAGAGCCAGGGGATGCGGAGCCGAGGGCTAGTCTCTGCTGCGGGGGGTATGTGGGGGTGGTGCTCCTTCCAAAGGGGCAGAGCTGGGCACAGTCCGCAGATGTCCTTCGTGCATGCGCTCGTTGATGCGCAGTTGGCAGCCGTCCTGCAGCATGCGCAGCGCAACGCGGGCGATGTTGCGCGAGTCATCCAGGCCAGAGTGAGGGCGGCCCTCGTATTGAAGTCCCAGCTTCTCCAGCATGCTGCTCAGCTTGGTCTGGGTACGAGGGACCTGTGGAAAAGGGAAGATTAATGCTGCTCAGTTTGGTCTGGGTACGAGGGACCTGTGGAAAAGGGAAGATTAATGCTGCTCAGCTTGGTCTGGGTACGAGGGACCTGTGGAAAAGGGAAGATTAATGCTGCTCAGCTTGGTCTGGGTGCGAGGGACCTGTGGAAAAGGGAAGATTCTAATGCTGCTCAGCTTGGTCTGGGTGCGAGGGACCTGTGGAAAAGGGAAGATTCTAATGCTGCTCAGCTTGGTCTGGGTGCGAGGGACCTGTGGAAAAGGGAAGATTCTAATGCTGCTCAGCTTGGTCTGGGTGCGAGGGACCTGTGGAAAAGGGAAGATTCTATTCTACTCTCTCGATTGCTTTCTACTCAACATACTGTATCTAACGAATGTCTTACATGCTTCTACATTAAGAGAGATATTTCAGCTAATTTCATATCATTAAAAAAAACAAACCTTATAGAAGTTCCCGTATAATTTTTTGATGTTGATCCACTTCTTTGCAAACTGTGGATATCTGAGCCGATTTAAACGGCACTGGGTGTTCATGAACTTGCTCATGTCCCAAGATCTGTGGATATAACAAAAGCACATAGTTGTATACTAATGAGAACACTTAATATCTTGCTAGCGTTATCATTAGTATACCAAAGCAGTGTTAGTACCCTCTGCGCACACTGACGTACCCGTCTGTAAGAATGGTGTATTTGTATTTTGTGCCAAGCTCTTTCTCCCGAAGCCAAAGCACCACCCGCTTAAGGACATCAGGGAACGTGTCTGCTTCATCCACCATTTTCTGGGCCGAAAAAAAAGCAGTTAGAAACTCTTATATGAACGTTACATTGTGTGAAGTATTTTGAATCATACTATTCAAGTCCTTCAAGATAGTTCAACGTCTATGCCTGTGTCTCACCTGTGTTATCCCTGTCAACTTTATGCAGAACTCTGACAGCTGTGTGTTGACTTCTGGTCTGACATATTCCTGAAAGGTGTCCTCCTACAAGTAAATTCAGTGTCATTCATGATACCAAAAGATGTGTGTATTATTTGCATCAACAACTAATGTGAAATCAAAGGTCCATACATCTATGACCTGTATGATCGTACACACAAGCCTTAAAATGCATTGATTCTAACAATGTCCCCTCCTCGCCCACTCACAATCTCTAAAGTGTGCGTGTTGAGCAGGACCATTGGGAACTCAATGATTTCATGAGTGAAGTCAGCGGGGTTGTCCTGTTCACATGTTGCCTCAAAGTCCACCACGCAGATGTAGTCATAGTAGGTATCCGTGGCTTCACCCTCTGTCACAGACTGCATCAGCGACAGCTTCTGTTTCTTGTAGTAGTTCTTCAACCGCTTCTTCATTACATCCTTCACACCTCTACACACACACACACACACACACACACACACACAGACAGACAGACAGGCACACAATTGGAATCATGGGACATATTCAGTGGAATGGATCTTCTTCAGTGGCATGTCAAGCAGCTCTGGGATTTCCTAACACAGAGATCCTGGGGTATATTCATGAAGCCGAATCTGTTGCAAAACTTTTCTTAAAACGGAAGCAAACGGAACGGGAGGGACTTACCTGAATTTGTCCAATAGAAAGTCTCGATTTAGTTTGGACTAATGATTACACCCCTGATCTCCAATGGATTATGATTGTAGCCATCTCCTGCTGAAACACTACACTAGCTACAGGGTTGTAACCTGGTATGTGATTACATACAGCACAATTCCTTAGCTACTGAAACAAGTGTTCCTACATACCTTGTGTCAAGCTTCAACTCTGCCAGTTTGGCCCGAAGCTCATCCTTGTTCATGCGATTGATATGTCCATTTGCAAGAGCAATCTCTTTGTAAACAGGATCACTGAACTCGCCATGAGTAGGAGATGCTTGAGGGACGGGTTCACCGATGTTACTACAAACTCTGACTCTGCTGCAAGACTTTGACATATAGAAAGGAATATACAGTTAACGTTAGTCACATATCAGTAGGTAGCTTCCTAGCTAGTTTAAAATATCCCTGGCTTCCATTTCTACTCCAATCCAGCAAGCTAGCTAGTTAGCAGTAGCTACTAACCTTGTCATCTTCCTCGGGTTTAGAGGACAATTTCACATTGCCACCCTTGTCTTGAATATTCTCCTTATATTCCTCCATTCTTCAGAGATTGGTTGAATCAATCCTTTCTGTAAACTGTGTGGGGGAAAGGTTAGCTTGCTACTTGCTAGCTAACTGGTAGGATGTGTTGTTGGCAGACAATCCTCCTGTTCTTGACTGTTTCCGCGCTTTCTTCCCGCGTGTCAGTGCTCTACTACGCGCTTGAATGTTATATCCGAAGTGTGTCGCCGATCAACGTTACATGATATTAGAAAAAACACTTTTATTCATGTTTTTCCAATTTTATTCCAACAAGACACCTTTTTACAGATATATTTGGATAGCTAACAAGCAAGCAACATTTTAATATTGTGTGAAAAATAAACAAACATTTCCGGTTGCAGTTCCGATGTGGTGATAATGATGATTTGTCGACGGCACAGATGGTTTGTGTACATAGCAGGTTAGGATAATTAACGTGGCAGGTTAGATGAATTAACGTTGCAGGTTCGGAAAATAAGGTTAAGGTTAGGGAAAGGGTTAGGCTAATACTTGTTGTCAACAACTGTTGTCCCCGACGCGACCACTAGATGGCGCTGTAGGCCTACTCCATCTAGACACAAGGGTAGAACAACAGGTAGCGCTGAATCCAGACCTTAACCCCTTTCTCTCCAATATTCTCCTAATTCGGAGATATTTGGATGACTCATGGAATTCCATGTCTATCTAAACTATATGAATGAGCACCTCCATTTCACCATTAACTACAGTTGAAGTCGGAAGTTTACATACACCTAAACCAAATACATTTAAACTCGTTAAATACGTTTTTCACAATTCCTGACATTTAATCATAGTAAAAATCCCCTGTCTTATGTCAGTTAGGATCCCCACTTTATTTTAAGAATGTGAAATGTCAGAATAATAGTAGAGAGAATTATTTCTTTCAGCTTTTATTTCTTTCATCACATTCCCAATGGGTCAGAAGTTTACATACACAATTAGTATTTGGTAGCATTGCCTTTAAATGGTTTAACTTGGGTCAAACGTTTTGGGTAGCCTTCCACAAGCTTCCCACAATAAGTTGGGTGAATTTTGGCCCATTCCTCCTGACAGAGCTGGTGAAACTGAGTCAGGTTTGTAGGCCTCCTTGCTCGCACACGCTTTTTCAGTTCTGCCCACACATTTTCTATAGGATTGAGGTCAGGACTTTGTGATGGCCACTCCAATACCTTGACTTCGTTGTCCTTAAGCCATTTTGCCACAACTTTGGAAGTATGCTTGGGGTCATTGTCCATTTGGAAGACCCATTTGCGACCAAGCTTTAACTTCCTGACTGATGTCTTCAGATGTTGCTTCAATATATCCACATCATTTTCCATCCTCATGATGCCATCTATTTTGTGAAGTGTACCAGTCCTGCAGCAAAGCACCCCCACAGCATGATGCTGCCACCCCCGTGTTTCACGGTTGGGATGGTGTTCTTCGGCTTGCAAGCCACCCCCTTTTTCCTCCAAACATAACGATGGTCATTATGGCCAAACAGTTCTATTTTTTGTTTCATCAGACCAGAGGACATTTCTCCAAAAAGTACGATCTTTGTCCCCATGTGCAGTTGCAAACCGTAGTCTGGCTTTTTTATGGCGGTTTTGGAGTAGTGGCTTCTTCCTTGCTGAGCAGCCTTTCAGGTTATGTCGATATAGGACTTCTTTTACTGTGGGTATAGATACGTTTGTACCTGTTTCCTCCAGCATCTTCACAAGGTCCTTTGCTGTTGTTCTGGGATTGATTTGCACTTTTCACACCAATGTATGTTCATCTCTAGGAGACAGAACGCGTCTCCTTCCTGAGCGGTACGACGGCTGCGTGATCCCATGGTGCTTATACTTGCGTACTATTGTTCGTACAGATGAACGTGGTACCTTCAGGCATTTGGAAATTGCTCCCAAGGATGAACCAGACTTGTGGAGGTCTACAAGTTTTTTTCGGAGGTCTTGGCTGATTTCTTTTGATTTTCCCATGATGTCAAGCAAAGAGGCACTGAGTTTGAAGGTAGGCCTTGAAATACATCCACAGGTACACCTCCAATTGACTCAAATGATGTCAATTAGTCTATCAGAAGCTTCTAAAGCCATCATTTTCTGGAATTTTCCAAGCTGTTTAAAGGCACAGTCAACTTAGTGTATGTAAACTTCTGACCCACTGGAATTGTGATACAGAGAATTATAAGTGAAATAATCTGTCTGTAAACAATTGTTGGAAAAATGACTTGTGTCATGCACAAAGTAGATGTCCTAACCAACTTGCCAAAACTATAGTTTGTTAACAAGAAATTTGTGGAGTGGTTGAAAAATGAGTTTTAATGACTCCAACCTAAGTGTATGTAAACTTCTGACTTCAACTGTATGTACATAGTCAATGGAAGGCTGAGATGGGACTGGAACACTAATCCGTTTTCTTGATGTGATGGTTATTAAGGACAAAACCTTATTCTCTACAGATCTCTATAGGAAACCTACGGACAGGAACCACCCTCCTTAGACATGACAGCTTTCATCCACGTCCACTTATTAAACGTCTCCCTGTAAATCAATTCAGCTGCATCAGAAGAATATGCAGCTCTGATGCTTCTTACCAGAAACAGACCAAGGACCTCACACAAAGGTTTAAGGAAAGGGGGTACAAAGACAATTGGGCAAAACGTTTTGAAGGGCTAACACAGTTGGAAAGCCTTCAACCAAAAGTTAAGGAAAAAGCAGAACATGTCCCCTCATGCTTCACCCAATACTCACCATTGGGGAAAGCATTTAAGGACATTATCAGGAAGCACTGGTACATTATTGCTACTGACCCACAATTGAAACCGATCTTTAAATATCCCCTATGTACAGTATGGTCTTTAAAAGATCCCCAAATGTGAGAGCCATTGTGGTCAAATCTTATTATCCACCAGAGAAAAGGGAAACTTGCTTGGACAAGGTTCTGGAGGGTAATTACAAACGTGGCCAATGTGCTCAATGCAGTTTCACTACAAATGTGACTCATTTACCCACCCCGCACAGGACAAAGATTCAAGATCAAAGGCCTGATTACCTGCATGTCCACCAATGCTGTTTACATGTTGAAATGTCCCTGTGGTCTGTCTTACATAGGGAAAACTCGTAGAAGCCTTAAGACCCGGATCAGTGAGCACCGCAGCAATATACAGACAGGTGAGACAAAAAATCTGTTTGCTGTTCACTTTGTACAAGCTGGACATCCTATTAGTTCTCTGCGATACATTGGAATATAAATGGTCAAGATGTCACGCAGGGGAGGGGACATTGAGAGGAAACTTTTTCAAAGGGAATCTTTCAGGATCCACAGGCTCAACACGCTGTCTCCTCTTGGCCTTAACTAGGAGTTTGATTTAAAACCGCTTTTATAGTTTAAAAATGACCAAATTATTTTGTTTTTGTCCTAATTGAATATTGTGTGTGTATATATATTACTGTAAATATTGATCACATTCCTTGTGTATGATCATATATTTTGATACATTGAATGTTAATATTGTGAACCCGTGTTATATATTTTTACCTCCTGTTTCAGGAAGTGATGTCACTGAGTACTGCCCCTATATATAGGACCTTCGCCCCCACCTGGGATATGGATGCCTGATGAAGACCTAAGGGTCGAAACGTTGTTATAAATCAAATCACCTGGGAAAATGGGCAGCAGTGTGTGGCGTTTTTCCTTTCCATAAGTTTGCGGAAAGTACCTGGATGTGTCTCTGTTATTCAGCTTCTGTATAGAAAAGTAAACAAACCATCTGTGGCTACAAATCATCAGTATCATAACACCGGTTAAAGTTTACACCTAAAATATATTAGCGACAGCGACACCTGCTGACACGGAAGAGCATTACACCAGTAAATTGACTACTAAGCTCCTATTTTTAGCTATAAGAAAGTAACACAAGCAATCAATCTCAATTACAACTAGTGTGAAGCTACATTAATGGTCACAGCACAACTCATGCATAAATACCGGTGCTTACACTGTGTATGGAAAGTTGATATAACAGTGGTACGTGAATTATTCTAAAATGAAATTAATTGAATAACTTCACATAATTGTAAGTGAGGGTTTCACATACATACATTAATCTAAAGATTATGATTCTGGATTTCATAAATGAGAATTGGGCTAAACGTGAGGCTTAGTCCTTATGTTCAAGCAGCTGGCCGTAAGGGTTACTAGGTGTTCAAGCTGGGGTTGTGATGTCTATTTGTAAAATATAGTGTATCTTCAAATAAAAGGACACTCCATAACTGGGTCCCCCAGATTCAACGGGTTTGTGAGACACAAGAGCCTTGCATAACCATGCTCTTTTACACTGTAGTGTGTACACCAAATGTTTGCTTGTATAAATCTGAAACAGAAGAATTTGGAATTGGGAGGCGTGTTAATAAAGGGGCAATGAAATGTATATGTATGAGTTTCATGTCAGGTCATGCTGCCAAGGGAAATGCACACTCTCAATGTGGAATCTTGTCCTTTCTCAAAAATTGAAATGACCTAAATCACGTGACGTGCTCAACTGAGAACGTGCCTTCGAGAAACACACACAAAGGTAGGTAGTCATTACTGCCCAGAATCCACCCAGTCTAGTCTCACTTACAGTAGTTGAGCAACATAACTGAGGGTGTTTGTGATGAGTTGTGTCTGTGTTGTTGACTCAACGTCATGTCATGTCATGCCAAGGGAAATTCACACTAATTGTAGAGCCCTTTTTCTTAGTAAAGTTTGTCATCACTTAAATGCGCTGAATGGTCAATACGACATCTGCATTTGCCGTTCAGCATTTACGGTGATACGGCCTCTGCAGAAGTCAGGGCATTCATACTTCTTGCGCTTCGCGGAGCAGCGTAGAGCTGCTCAAGTTGTGAAGTTATCAAGTTGTGAAGGAGATGGTCGGTCTACATGGGATCAGACACAGCAGCCTTCCAGTGTCAGTAATGCTTACTTTTGCATGTAGCTATAATAATAGTAATGTTCATTTGGTTAAAAGTCATTCAGAAGTCATGGAAAATGTTTATAAACCCCTAACAGTGAATAATCAGGTCTCTATAGCATAATGTTATTTGTGAATTTCGGTGAACATAGTCTAATGGACCGACTTGGAAAAAGACAGCTCCTGCACTTCTTTCATTTGAGGGTTATCCTATGAAGCAGGTTTGAGGGGTTAGCGAGGTAACTTTGGTCAACAGTTTTTGTCTTTGTATTTATTATGGATCCCCATTAGCTGCTGCCAAGGCAATTTTAGAAACATTACAATACATTCATAACAGATTTCACAACACACTAAGTGTGTGCCCTTGGGCCCCTACTCCACTACCACATATCTACAACACAAAATCCATGTGTACGTGTGTATAGTGCATATGTTATCATGTGTGTGTATGCATGTGTCTGTGCCTATGTTTGTGTTGCTTCACAGTCCCTGCTGTTCCATAAGGTGTATTATTATCTGATGTGGAATAAAGTTCCATGTAGTCATGGCTCTATGTAGTACTGTGCACCTCCCATAGTCTGTCCTGGACTTGGGGACTGTGAAGAGACCTCTCATGGCATGTCTTGTGGGGTATGCTTGGTTGTCTGAGCTGTGTGCTAGTCGTTTAAACAGACAGCTCGGTGCTTTCAACATGTCAATACCTCTCACATATACAAGTAGTGATGAAGTTAATCTCTCCTCCACTTTGAGCCAGGATAGATTGACATGCATATTATGAATGTTTGCTCTCTGTGTACATCCAAGGGCCAGCCGTGCTGCCCTGTTCTGAGCCAATTGCAATTTTCCTAAGTCCCTCTTTGTGGCACCTGACCATACGACTGAACAGTAGTCCAGGTGCGACAAAACTAGAGCCTGTAGGACCTGCCTTGTTGATAGTGCAGTTAAGAAGGTAGTGCAGCGCTTTAGTATGGACAGACTTCTCCCCATCTTAGCTACTGTTGTATTAAGTCTGAGTTCAACTCGGGATAACCGGTCATACGAAAGTGGCTTACATTTTAGACAGACCGGCCTTTACAACTGCTGTATTAGCGGACCAATTCAGCCTTCTGCAGCGGGGAGAAATGTCATGACATTCTTCTGGGAATTGCCAGGGACCTCACAATACGATATGACGATACTTAGGTGCCGATACGATATGTATTGCGATTCTCACGATTCTATACAGTGAGGGAAAAAAGTATTTGATCCCCTGCTGATTTTGTACATTTGCCCACTGACAAAGACATGATCAGTCTATAATTTTACTGGTAGGTTTATTTGAACAGTGAGCGACAGAATAACAACAAAAACATCCAGAAAAACGCACGTCAAAAATGTTATAAATTGATTTGCATTTTAATGAGAGAAATAAGTATTTGACCCCTCTGCAAAACATGACTTAGTACTTGGTGGCAAAACCCTTGTTGGCAATCGACTTCAACTGTATGTATATACATACACACACATACACATATATATATATACATACAAAAGTATGGACACACCTACTCATTCCATGTGTTTGACATTTAATTCGCTACGTTCCAGCCATTATTATGAGCCGTCCTCCCCTCAGCAGCGTCCACTGGTGGTATCACTAATTTCTGATCAACAGGACCCAGCAGGTCCAAGTGAACAAGACCCTGTCTGAGCCCAAGGTCATTAAGGTGCCCCCCAAGGCTGAGAGTTCACCCATCCTGTTCACACTTTCCTCTGCACAAAGCAGAGACACCATCGAGGCCTGTTGCCAGCTTGCGTATACTCGTGGCCTATAAAGGGTTAAATTCTAACTTGGGGTCACAGCAATCAATAACAATGGTGATGAGCATGTTAACACACTTGGCAGAGAAGTAATGTCAGTCAAACTTTATGTAGTAGTCATTAAATTAATTTGCCATTGTCTTTTTGTCTGTTGTGTAAAGTGGTTTTCTGGTGGGAGTCATATTAGTGATGGATGTTATTGTTAACCCTTGAATACTGTTCATTCTAAGCTGGTTTGCAGCTCAATGCTACAAGAGTAATTATATTGAGCCAAACAAATTTGATTGTCAACATCTGATGCTAGTCAAATAGATTTATTGGTAAATTTAAAAAAACGGTAGGCTGTTTGCTGCCCAATTATACAAGAGTAATTATAATTATCCTTATTAACAAAACATTTGTCATTATCAGAACATAGCCGAGCAGACGTCATAAGGAGTTGTAGGCCTAATCATTCAGATTTATTGGCAATAAATTATAAACTGGTAGACTAATAACTGACGTCAAAATTACTTTTATTTTCATATTAAGGCTATAAGTGAGGTGTTTGTGTGTTTTGTTAACATTCAAAATGGTACAGTATGATTTGCTATCAAGATTAGAGTGGCTTTTAGATCTCCCAGTCTTGTTTCACACAGTCGGGAACTGACCAATAAAATCGTGTTAAGAAACGAAAAAAACACGCTCAATCAAAACCGTCTGACCAGTTACAGAGTGCTGATATAATGCCTATCGCTGTTGATCCACCCACTTATGTCGACATGCCCACTTCCAGACACTCCACATATGCAGTTACCCATACTTGTAGCCATGTGCGACATGCATGCGCAGTTACAAGCCTGCTAAAGTTAGCGGCAGGCGGACAAGCAATATCCACCGTCGTAGTACGGAAGAAGCCTGAGCTGGAATGTGAAGCTAACTGAAGCTGGTTAGCTTTAGAAAGCCCTGAGTATCATTTACCGAGTCGTAATCAAAAGGCTTGTTTTATAATCACCCACACTAATAATACCACCTCTGTACTGAAGAGGAGTTTCTGTACTTCAAAGAGGAGTTTAAACAAACAAAAATATTATTGATCTCAACATTTATTTCACATTTTCAGAATCAATGAAATACAGCATCTCTTAAAACATTATACTTCATTTCTCTGACCTACAAAATCCATCCTAATACTTGTTTTTTTTTAAAACATATCCAATGACTTATTTACATTAAGCAGCATAGTGAACACAGTAAAACATTTCAATAGCCACTGAAAAAAATATGAGCAGACAGAAATGTACATTTCTAAAGGTGAATCCAAAATAAATTCCTGCCATTCCCACCCCTTTAAATATGGAAGGAATTAAACACACACACACACACACACACACCAGAATGAATTTAGTACAAACGTATGGTGCAAATCCTGAAGTGACTTAAAAGGCCCCATTTCAATTTTGAGGTCTATTATGTAACAGAACTCAACATAAAGAACTCAATAAATGTGATGTGAGAGGACATGGACTTCGTTCCCAAATATATTTGTTAAAAATCACTGGAAGTTTTACATCCATAATTAGAAACACTGTTCTTCCAATTATTCAAACATGTATACGTTATGT